TGTGGTATCCATATTGTTTTATTTGAGAATGTAGGCTTGATTAATCCTCATTAATTTGCCTTGATTCTGAGAGTGTATGGATATAGCGTAGAAAAAAATACATAGTGAAATATAAGTATAACGAAATCAATCAAAGATCCTAAACTACCAAACCATGATAGTTAATAGGAAAAAGTAAGAATAAGTAACATTACTGTCCCGCTATCCATTACCAACTGAGCTATTACTGTGGCTTCTGAATGAAGTGGTTCAAAGAAGTGATCACTATCTATATGTTTTAATTATCAGATAGAATATATTAATTATATTTTACTAATCAACACTTGACTCTGTAATGAAATTTATGATCATACGTTGTGGTGCATTAGAGTGACTTGTGAAGCTGCGTGAAGACTCCGTACTGGTGACTAGGAAGTGGGGTGAGGGAAGGAACAGAAGGAGTGCCTTGCTGCAAGAGGCTAACGCTAGGATAGAAGCCCCATGTAGTTTGAAGATAGAATGTGGACGGGGATAGTAATTCCTCGTATTCGCATTCTTTGGCTACTGTCATTCTCAGCTCACACCTCTCACGTGGATCCATCTACCCGCGTACTGAATCATATCGCCGCATGCTAAGTACCATATACTGTACTTACAATTAATTATCAGAACTCTACATTATGTTATAGTATAAACATTTATATTGCATTGGTACAAACATGTGTATATTTTGTATAATATGATAAATGTGATAACATTAAAAATTCTTCAGATAGATATTATTTATTATTATAATAGTATACATTATATTATTATTATTATCCAAATTATCATGTGAGTTTCGGTATTAGTGTCTATCTATCATTCATTCTGCTTCTCTCTTCATTCTTCATTCTTCCTCATTCTTGAATTACGTCTTCTGAGGTACCTTTGATGTATTTTGAATTCATTCTTCCTCTTCAACATTTCCGATGCTCACTTTGAAACACAATCAGTTCCGCTTTCATCATTATGAATTATTTGTAAATCGTTCAACACACTTGCATTCGGTTGTTGATCACCTCCATAGAATGCATACATTCTTGAATATGGCTCAGATACTCTCGCGTATGTGAAGCAATTGTTTGGTTTCAACTCGCATGAACCAACTGATCTATGAATTGCTTTGAATATTTATATACATATACTTTTAGCTATTCTCAATCACAATTGATTCTAGGCTGATTTATTCAGCAGCCTCATACGGCATAACCTTAATCAATTCTCAGAGTCTATAAACACGACATCACTAATATTAATACACTATCTATTTGCAATCAGATAGTTCCATTCTCCAAAGTTCAAAAATGGTCACTACTAGGTTATCCTCCAACTGAATACGCATCATTTCATGTGATTTTCCAAATCAGAATATGAATAATCACATAGAATCTTACAAATAATTTAAAAAAAAATTAATTTCAATACATAATAATTTGATAGTTGGTTTCATTTTAAATTTGCATTAGTATATTTTATTTTGAGTTACTATTTAATTCAACTACTCATGTTTTTTTTATATAATTTTCATTCAGATATGTATTTTTCAATATCTTATATACTAGTGTTAGTTAATTTGCAGTCATGTTCAATAGTTTATATTTTCTATTACAAATTACAGATTAACATGAAATATTGACAATTTTTGTTTTTACTTCCTTCTTTCCAGGCTTAGTCGTTCGTCTCTTATCATAATTACAAGAGAAGTTAGAGGACCCATTATCGTTCCTTTAATAATTTTATAAAATAAATACTTAAAATTATACTATTTCACATTTATATTTCGATGTATTATATTAAAAATTGAAATCATATATATTTATATATAATTTCTACCGGTCAATAATCCATTGCATTAACTATGTTAACTTTGAAATTCCAAAAACTTATATATATAATTATTACAATTAATGATACTAGTCTGTAACATCTCCGTTACTATGATACTATAATTATATACTTACGTATTATTCGACTTATACTAAGTATATTACATAAAATCAGTCATTTGTTTACTAGTTAGATCTTATACTAAAGTAAGTTAATAAAAAGAATTAATAAAAGAAAATAAACGTATAATATTATTTCAATTTTATTCATTACTAATTTATTTAGTCATTTTTTTAGTTAAATAATTGTTATTTCTTAAAAATATGTCATTTCTTTACTTAACTATGTATTTCTTATATTATTTGCAATTGATATTTACTAAGTACTTTTAATTTTTTATTTAGTAACTACAAACACTACATATTACACTACAAACACTATAAATTACACTACAATTACATTCAGATTGAAAAAAAAAACAAAGAAAAAAAACCAACAATAATAACTACAAAAAAACGAAATACATTCACATAAAAAATGAAATCCACAAAAAAAAAAACCAAAAAAAAAAAGACAGCTCCACAAAAAACTCAAAAAAAATAAAAAGATCAGCAGAGGCGTTTACGTGATCAGGTGAACATCGAATGGATGATAGGTAAGTAATCATCAGGCGACCATTAGTAGGCTTCTCCGGTGATCGGGCCTTGCATTAGAGAGCGGAGGAGTGAGACTCGTGCTGGGCTGAGGAACGAATCTACTACGGAAGTGAAGAAAGGAGAAGGAAGGAGGGAGCTGCGCTCGCTCATGGTCGACAAAGGAAACATTTCATAATAAGCCTATAGTTTTTTTTGCGACCGATATTGCGCATCTGATAACCTAAAGGACGACTAATGGTAACTTAATAGCCCTATGTTGACGACCGAACTATGCCAACCGAAATTAGGGTAGCTATATGGAGTCGGCACCGATTGTACTTTGGGTCGCAAATCGGTTGCAGAACAAAAGCTAAATTTGGCACTGAACTGCAGCACCCAATTTTGCGATAGGCTTTTAAATGGTCGCAAATCCGTTGTAGAATCGGTCGCAAATTCATCACAATGGGGCCGCAAATTGAAAACCAAACTAGCAGGAGTTATTGGCACCAGAATTAGCGACAGATATTATATTGGTCGCAAATCCGTCACAAAATCTATCGCCGTTTGGTCGCAAATCCGTCGGTGGATATTCAACCTCCCAATCATTGCAACTGGTCGCAATATCATCGCAATATTACGACCAATGTGCGTCGGTCGCAAAAATCAATCGTAAAAGCGTGTTTTTTTTGTAGTGTATGATCACACTGACAGTCACACAAACAGCATAACAACAACACTCACAATTATTAACAACTTCACATAATCACATCACGTGAAAATTGGTCTGTGGTGTGACCAAAATGCCCGATGAGCCGTCCTCCCACATGACCCATCCTCTCATGATGTGTGCATCAGGAAGCCCATCCCTCATACATGGCTGACCAGTCTCAACCTCACTTGACCAGCCCTCTCATCATTCATTTCATTTCATTTCATCATTTTTTTATACTCTCTTTTCTTTTTCACACCAACACTTTCTATCCATAAAAATCATGCATACATACTCCAAAAATATTAAAGAAAATATAAAACATATATAGTAATTTTTCCGGACCAAAATAATACCGACTAGCTCCCGGACCGGTAGTACTATTCACAGACCGGTAAATCACTTTCTATTCATAATTATACTCAATATCTTCCTCAGATCTAAATAAAATATTTCCTCTCTCTGTAACACCATTCATGACCCGATAAAATAATATCATTTTAAGATTCGAAAATTTTGGGGCGTTACAAAACCTCCCCTAAAATTTGATTAATCCACAATTCAATAATAAATTCTCAAAGTCCATCCATCGGGCAATTCACCTCAGCTCATCCCATCCGCCATAACCATATTCATCAATCATTTGATCTCTTAATTCACACATATATACACTTAATAATTTCATAGCAATTAATTAACAAATTGTATTAACATCCGAGCATGTTCCAATGCTATTATTAATTATTCTATAACTAATTATCAAATACCTAAACAATTTATAAATAAAACTTATTTTGCCAAGTTAAATACATGGTTAAGTTTTTAGTTCTTTGCAAAAACTCGTGAGTTATGGTTAGTGCCAAGTGTTAGGACTATTCCCATTGTAATAGATTTTGCTCTTGCCCTTAAAAAGAGTTTGATAATGGAGGATTTCAAGATGGTTTCTTGAGGAGAAGATGTAGGCGTGAGAAGTACATAACCACTATAATTTTTGTTGTTGATTTTCTCATATTTTCCGTCTTTATGATATTGCTTGACTTTTCACACTCACACACTTTAAATCTTAATGATATGGTGTTATCTTAATTATTCAATCATTCCATGTTTTGATTTGTCGAATCTTTGTAATTAATATTGATTTAAATTAGAATCTTTGTAATTAATATTGATTTAAATAAAAAATGTTTATGAGTTGCAGGGTTACCTAATTTAGTGAGCTATTTTTAAATAATCTTTATTTTTAGATAATCTTTCTGCTTAAGTAAGTTATATAATTTTAAAATCTGAAAATTATAATATTGTGCTTCTGCTTTACTTGAAAAAATGTCTTTAAAACTCTAAATTTTTATAAATGACAATTCACCCTCTCTTGTATATAGCACATGAGGACCTACACAATAAAATTAAAATACGTGTGAAATGTTACAGTTTATATTATTTTATTATGTATAATTAGTGCAATAACTCTCACATTATTTTATTATGTATAACTAGTGCAAGAACTCGTGACAAAATCAGAAGGTGCTGAAAACGACATGCTTGTGAAATACCATATGGGTTGGGTCGAACCAACAAAACTTGGGGAAATCAAAAAAACAACTGCAATTAATCAAAATTCTCAATTCATTTGGTTTAGGTAGTCACTATTTTGACTTACAGCTAAATTTTTCTCCTATATTTTTGCAGTTTGGAACATAATGGCTTTTAGCACAATTTAGTTAATAAGTAAATTTAGTTTAATAAGTTAAAAGTGATCTTCGGTTATGGATAAACACTCAACTCAAAGAGCTTCTTCCTTTTCAGCTTCTTCTTTCAAATGGAAATCTCCAAATGACAGATTATGTTAGTAAAAAAGCTGCCGTTTTCTCTTTAATACTCAAATGGATTCTTAAGATTGCAATGTTGGCAGCTTTCATTGCTTGGCTTACTGTTGTTTTCATGTATCCGATAGAGTCACTTCAAACATGGTTTAAAAATTGGACTCAAGCCTCTGCTGATTCTTTTCTTGGCTTTACAGGTTAATTAGCTTCTTCCTTTTTTTTTTCTTTGGTTATTTTTTTTTTTTTTTTTTTTTTCTTTGGTTATTTTTTTTTTTTCTTCTTTTCTTTGGTTAATTAGTTCTAAAATTTTGTATTGCAATTTGCAGGAGGTGTATTTCTGATATTCAATGGGCCACTCATCATTATTGCATTACTTTCTATACCATACCTTACCCTTTGCTCCAGGGAAGAGGAGCTCCAAAAGTATGTTTTTAGCTACACACAATTCATTAGGACAAAATTTCCTATGTTTTTATGTCAACTTCATCTTAATTTCTTATGGTATTGGGAGTTAGAATGCAGGGAGAGGGAGTAGGGTTTTCAGTGTGCCACTGTGTTCTGATTCGTTTTTTCTGGGTTTGAATAGTTACATTGACAAAGATAAAGGGGGGCAGGGGGCCTTTTCCCCAAGCTTCCTAATGAAATAGTCTCTACTGCAATGAATCATGAGCCCTAAGGATAGACATTTGGCAAGCAGATATCAAAGCACACTGAAAGTCCTTTAACTCCCAACCTGCACCTGCAAATGAAGATTTATGCTTGAAAGATGCATTTGTACTACCATTATAAAAATCCCACAGCAAGCCTTTTCAATAAAACAGCTCGAGCATTTCTATTCACATTAGATTTGACCTGTAAAACCTAGGCCTGCTACCAAGAATAAAACTAGGTAAAACCTATATTTAAGACAAAAGCAGCAGATGATCTACAATTCTGCCAAACAATTGAGTTCCTATGCTTCCATAGTATCGGGATAACCATGCAAAACACTTGAACATCCGAGACGGAGAAAACATTGAACACATTCAACAAACCGTTCACTGTAAAACCGTTCACTGTAAAATCATGTTGCAACTCATAAATATCGATAACACCAACTAGAACATGGTTCCAACGTTCTCTCACAAATTTACAGTCAACAAACAAGTGCAGTCTGGCCTGCCCATGAGGCTTCGCCCATGAGGCTTCGTGGGCTGCCAAGTTCAAGCCCACTTGACTTGTTTAATCTGGATTGGCCCACTTGATAGAGTGGCGGTTAGTTGGGATGACTGCTATTTCATCTACTAGGCATATGCAAAGAAATTATAGGATTAGCATGGTTCGAAAGCCACACATCATTCTAGATAGAGACAGAATCACCAAGGCAAAGATAGAGACAGAATCACCAAGGCAACCTCTTGATCACAACTGAAGAAACAAGATTAAATGCTGCTTGAATGCTACTCCAGATATAACTGGGGTTAGACCTCGATTCAGCGTTTAACAAAGAAGAAGAAGGGTGGTAATGAGAAAACACGTGCCATAATAGAATTTGGTTGAGTAGTCTCCAAATATCTTAGGGTATAAAAATAGGATCGACTTTGTATGTCATTTCAATTGCATTCAGTTTCAATTATAGGTGCAAATTAGTTATTTAAGGTGTGAAAATTTATTGAATTTTATGTATTTTTACATCCTATATTTTTTATCAATTTCAATCATCAAAAATGATTAATTTCTAAGTCTTATTTTGCGTATGCTTATAGAACAATTCAAAATATAGTGTAAGTAAAATAAATTGCAAAGTAATTAGTAATTCATATTATTATCAATATGATACTGCACCCACAACATAAATTCTTGAAAAAGAAAGCGAAGGGGAAAAAAAAAAAAAAAGAGGCATTCGCATCTTAAATCACAGTCCATTATGCACTACATCATTTATTTATTTATGTATCGTCTCTATCAACTTTTTTTATTTATTTATATTTTACACGTATTTTATCTTTAGACGTCATCCTTCTTATAATAGCAACTTCAAATTTTAAACTCTTATCGCCTCAGGACGTAGTTCACTTCTGCTGATTCAACCGCATATATATATATATATAGCTTTATAGAGATTTGGGATAAAATCCATTTGACACAAATTGTTATATATATGCCTAGAAGTGTGAAGATGCAATATCCCAACTAAAACCAACATGCATTGCACGTACATACCTTTCTTTTTTAGTATATTCGTATTATGTTGAACCACTAGTTGATTACTTGCTATTCCTGAAAACAACTGCAAAAACAATACAAAATTGCAAAGTAATTAGTAATTCATATTATTATATGTTTTTGCCTTACCGACCAACAAGCGCATGTGGCAAACGCGAACAATCAGGTGTTGGGTTACCTAATTGGGGCCCCACATTTTAGAACGGGTCATCATCAAAATTCTAAATCGCGGCCGTTTATTATAAATTAATGAAAAATAGTAAATGTCGCTAATAACTACGGTGATTTAATTAGCTTTTTTTTATATAGGAAGGTCAATTTAAGCTCACATGGATGGGACCCGTTGCATTATTAACTAACGGATAAGATTTTATAGCACATATAATGTCAACGAATGGTTAAATGTCTTACTTATCTTAATTAAAGCTTGCAAATTTGCTCTGTTTTGTGGGTTCCACTACATATTTCTTAGTAATTTTTATAAAATTGGATTACGTGTTTTTTAATTTTACGTCGGACACAATAACTTTTGAAGGGCATTTGATTTTAAAATCTCACTCGAAACTGATTTGGTATGAAAATTCTACTTTTCCAATAAAATTGAATTCTTGAATTTGTTAGTCTTATCTCGTCTTTTTCCTTTCAAATGATTGAAAAAGTTGGACCCTTATAGAAAATAATATATTCTTATCTCGTCTTTTTCCTTTCAAATGATTGAAAAAGTTGGACACCCTTATAGAAAATAATATATTCAAAAAATATAAATTAAATAATTATCAAGTAATAAATATATATAATTAATTATATATATATAATATATATATAATATATATATATATAAACATTTTAATGTAGCAGCCGTTTAAATAATCCATCCATGCATTTCAACAAATATATTTATCATTATATATAAAATAATTATTGTTGTCATTTATATTAACAAATTCCATAATTTTGATTGTTTTGATTTTTGGATTAAGTTAAATTATAAGTCCATAGTATACAAAACTACACAATAATTATGGTTTAACTATATTAATTAAATTTTTATTTACGTGGATGTCAAGGTAAACGTGGATGTCAAGGTAATTCTATTTTTATTTGCATAGGTATTTTATATACATAATTTATTTTTCAACAAATATCTCATATAATTTATTTTAGTAAAGAAATTAATTTCGTTTCGACTATATGTTAGTCTAATCATTAGGGTACGTCTTAGTAAACATTAATTATTTATTGACCTTATCTTTGTGGTTTTTATTTTGTAATATTGTATTATTTTCGTTGTGGCCTACCTAAATAATTGCCAGTCCAAGGCAAGTAGATTAGTCGGCAGTTGCCATTCCCTTAGTTATAGCTAACAAACTTGGAGTTGGAGTTGGAGTAAAATATAGCTAACCAGAAAAAAAAGGGGAAAAAAATTACTTAAACTTCTCAAATATCTATCTGAATGTAGAATATGCATCTTAACCAGCTAATAAAGAGTGAAAAATTATAATTGAGGGATAAAATGGAATGGCAGGGATGTTTTCTCCCTTAATTAAAAATTTTGAGTTCGAGCCCTGAATATAAAATCTTTTTAAATACTCAAAAACAGAGTGCTTTGCTTTTTTTGTAGACTTGTCCATTGTGAATCTAAATTAATCAGACAAGCGGATTTTAAAAACCAAATGGTTAAAAAAAAGTGAAAAATGATAAACTAATGTCATATGGTTAAAAAAAAGTGAAAAATGATAAACTAATGTCATAGGTAAGAATTTCCGTGAAAAGAAATACACTAAAATCGTGTTAGATTTTTAAAAATAATTGCAAATTTCGGGTTGTATCGAGTTAAAATTGTGTTAGATTTTAAAAAAAATTGTTGAGTTTGATAGAAATAAAAGGATGTGCTCACTTGTAGAAAACCGGAGTAGTTTTCTAGAAAAGTTTTCTAAGAAAACTGAAAAATAGAATTTTGTATTCAAATCACTCAATTTTCTATTTGGAAAACTAGAAAACAGTTTTTTAGTTTTCAAAATTTTAACTAAGATTTGGGATTTTCAGAGTTTTTCTTTATAATAAAAGAAGAACATATTTTTCCCACTTTTTTAAAATGAGATTTTATAATTAAAAATTATAATATTTAATAAATAATTTTTTCTAATAGAAATATTTTCATTTGAAAAAATAAAAATATTTTTTAAGTAAATAAATTTTATATTATGCTTTAATAAATAATTAATTTTTTATTATTATAGAGTATTATATCCTTTATTTTTAAAAAATTTTACAAAATGGCAAAAAATGATATTATTATTATAATAATAAATAGCAAATATTTAAAAACTTTTACATAAAAAATTTCTAAATTTATTTTATAATATTTTATTTCTTTTACTTATAAAAATTATAAAAAATGTTTGTGAAATTAAATTAAAATATTAATTTTTTTTATTACCAAGGGAACGCATTTTCCATTTTCTAATTTTCATTTTCTAAGAAAAGTGTTTTCTTAAAACACAAAAAATAGAAAAAAAAATTATTTTCTGTAAGTAAATGTATTAAGGATTTCCTAAGATTTCCACATATTCCACTAGACTTCAATGTAAAATTTTATAGAATTGGTGAGACTTTTTTTTATAGATTGTGAGACTTTTTTTTATAGATTTTAATTGACTTTGATGGAATCATAATGATATTTATATATCCAATCAAAATTAATCTCATGACATAATTGAATAAATTAAAAGGTTTCTAATTGAAATATTAAAAAACAATGAGGGACAAAAAGATGTGTCATATTCTCCATAATCGTTTTTTTCTTTGTTAAAAGCTTACTGTTATGGACATTAAAAGACCTGCAATGGCCAGCATCGTCATTGCCCATCCTGCCCTCCTAGAACAGTCGCGATGTGGTTGCAAGATCACGGGCTTTTCATCCCTTAACTAAACAGTGGTCATTAAGTGTGAGTAAACGGTCGATTCAGTTCAAATCGAATCGAACCAATAAAAAATATAAACTGAAGTTTTTTATCAACAGAACGAACCGAACCGAACCGAATTGAATTTCTCTTCTAAATCAAATCATATCGAATCAACTAAATCAAATCATATCGAATCAAATCAGTCAGTTCAGTCAATTTTGATCCTTTTTTTCATTTCGATTCGATTTTAAGGGTAACTCACAGATTTTTATGAAATCTACTTGAATAGAATAATAAATTCGGTTCAGACTGAATAAACCGTCAATTGAACCTTTCTTGATTTAGCTGATCGAATCAAACCTAAATGAGTCGGTTCAGTTTTCAGTTTGGTTTGGTCGGTAAGTTTGCACACCCTAGCAACGTCTCGTCGAAAAGCAATACAACAAAATGTTAATAGACTCCAAAAAAAATCTAGATTGAACACTATTTGAATTTAAGATATTTTAAAATCTAATAGAGTCTTAATACAATACACCTTTGATTTAAACTAGTACTTGAACCCTAAACAGGAGAAGATACACCTTTTAGCTTGAGGGATCCAAGAAATTTAAACTTGAGGGATCCAAGAAATTTAAAAGAAAAATTTCATTATAAAAAATTATATTTTCATTAATAATTATGGTCCTCACTAAAATAAAATAACTTTGCGGGATTTAATCATAACGCTG